AAATAAATAAATAAATAAATAAATAAATAAATAAATAAGAAAACCCAAAAGAATATTTCATGACATACGAAAATTATATTGAATTCAAATTTCAGTGCTCACAAATAAAGCTTTACTAGAACACAGTCACACTCACCACTTATGAATTGACTGGCTTTGCTCAACAATGGCAGGGTTGAATTGTGATAAGAGATCATATGTAATATTTTAACTGATTCTTACTGCTGCTCCATACACTGTAAATCACAGTGATAGTATTATAACCTGAAAGCATTTGGAGTGCCACGCATACTCCATACCATGACACTTTATTACCAATGCATAGGTCAAAGGAAGATAAAATGGACTTCAAATGTCATGCTTTGAAAGCATCGTGAAATGTGAATTATTTCGTTATTGAATTAAATGGCAAAGCATTTTGCTAATTATGCAATAACACCATAGCCAAAAACAAAAACAAAAAGCTTAGGAAAGATCTGAGAAGGCCCTGAGCTTAAGGCTCTTCACAAATTGAAAGTGAAAGCCAAGGCACAGTTTAAAACTGCCCAGCTAAGGGCTAATGGTATGTCCCAACACATACAGAGAGCCCCATGACCAAGAATGGAAAACATTTTGGCTCCAAACATTTTATAAAATGTATGCCCAATCATTTGGTGACCACTAAACTAAGAGAACAGAGACTTCTTTGGCTACGTATAACAAAGAACACAGACTTTACAGAATCTGGTCAAGAAGTTACAAGAAAAACAACAGAAGCACCTGGCTGGTTCAATCGGTAGAGCATGCAACCCTTGATCTTAGGGTTGTTTGAGCCCCATGTTGCGTGTAGAGATTACTTAAAACAAAATCTTAGAAAAAAGAAAAAAACAACACATACTAAAAGCAGCAACAACAAATTCGGGAAAGGAGAGAACCTGATTTCCAGATTTACCGTATTATAATAGTTAACATGTCCAGTTTTCAACAAAAAAATTACAGGGCATGCAAAACATAAGAATATATAACCCACATACAGGAGGAAAAAAAATCAAAGGAAGCTATGCCTGAAGAAGCCCAGATGTTGGGCTTCCTAGACTTTATGTATGTTCAACAAGGAAATTATGTCTGAAGAACTAAAGTATACTAAGAACAATGTCTCATTAAATAGAGAATTATCAATAAAGAGGCAGAGATTATAAAATGGAACCAAACATATACTTTGAAGGTGGGAAGTACAATAAATGGAATAAAAAATTCACAACATTGAATTAAGGGCTCAACAGTGGATGTGGACAGAAGAAAGAATTAGCTAATTTGAAGGTATCAGGTCAATAAGATTACACTCTATGAGAAACAGAAAGTAAAAAGAAAGAAGAAAAATGAACACAGACTCAGAGGCCTGTGAGACACCCACATGTCTACCAAAATACACATAAGAGGAGTCCCAGTAGGAGAGAAGAAGAGAGAAAGGGAGTAGAATGAATACTTAAAAACATAAATGCCAAAGACTTCTCTACTTTGATGAAAACAAAGAACCCCAAATAAGATAAATTTAAGAGATCCACAACCAGAAACAGCAGAATCAAACTGTCGAAGATAAAAAAACAAAGAGATGATCTTGAAAATAGGAGAGAAATGACTTGTCATGTACAAAGGGTCCTCAATAAGATTAACAGCCAAATCAGAAACCATGGACACCTGCTTTAGTCTGCTTGTCCTGCTAGAACAAAACACTAGAGTGGTCAGCTAAAATAACAGAAATGTTATTACTCATCATTTCTGGAGACTGGGAAGTCCAAGATCAAAATGCTAGCTGACTGTGTCAGAATAAGGGGATGGGAGCAGAGATATATAAGAGCAAAGTTGGTATACTACTGAAATTAAGTTGACATCCAATATGAACTTGGTAATTACAAATTATGATGGTAATGATATTACTCAGGATAACCATTAAGAGTATAACTCAAAATATACAGTATAAGAAATAAAAGAATGAAAATGGCAAAACAAAATAAATCTATGGAATACTAAATAAAGGACACTAATGGAGGACTTAAAA